ATACGTACGTAAATTTTATCAACTTTTGTTTCCAATACTGAGATATACAAATTTTGTTTCTTATATTTGATCAGTAGACCTAGGAATAAAATAAAAGTTATCCATATTCCATAACTCCATTTGCACGAAAATATTTACTTGTTTTCTTAATTAGCCGTTTTATACGAGTTTAGATTACTAAACAGAGTTTGTTTTCTTGCCCTTCAAATACAATCAAGGAAAATCATATTTGAGAATCAAATAAAAGATAAGACACGATTCATCAACTCATATAAATAAGTTCTGGAAAAGATGCAGCATATATCGCTTCAAGAAATTTCGAAAATACATACCTACAAAACTCAATATCGTTTGGACATTGAATTTGACAGTGCTAGGCTATATAGATATACCTAACAAACTACTCGCGTGGTTTGCAAATTTTCGACGAATCAAACTCAATATTTTTCACACAACTTACAGGGTAATAGTTGTTTATTCTCTAACCTATAATGATATTCTACCCGTGTTTTGGATTACGTCATAAACATAATATGTTTAAATGTATTTATTTTACAAGTCTCGAAATTAACTGGTTCAGTTTATGTAAATTGTGCCGTTAAGTTATATTTATTTACTTTTCAATTCCCTAAAATACCGTAAGCGTTACAAAAACATGCATTGGTACTACTAGTAATTAATTAATTACTCAACAATTTGCAAAACCTTTTATTTTTATTTTCTTCATCAATTTCTGGTTATAAAAAATCGACTTAGCATGTTCTTTCGAACCATTAATCTGAGTTAGACCGCCTGCGCTGAATATTCCCAAGTACCCATTTAATCCTTAAGAATGAGTCGAAATAAAATATAAACTAAGTTCTTACCATTTCCACCTCCTGTCTCCAACAAACAATAATTTATAATTTACTTACAAAACGATAAAGAATTCCTGACAATTGGACGCGCATGCTCTAGGCTTGAGCTTAGTTCCAAATTGCTTATTAGTTCGACAACAACAGCAACAAAAAAAAATGTTTAATTTTTTAACATGAAAAAAAAATCCAAAATATTACTCTTCGCATATGAAAAAGTCCTGTTATTTGGAAACCAATTGAGATAAAAGTGTTTTTATGGTTGTTGGTAAGCGCAATTGGTTATCAGTGCTCTGCCCTCACAGTTATCGAAACCCGATTTTTAGCGTCGTAAGACTGATGAATTACCGCGAGCCACTGGAGAACCAGATTCAAATTCATCTCAGAGGTTGATTCTTATTCAAGTGGTCAGTTTTCCATTTTCCCGCCTAATCTGACACTTCTTGTTGTCCAACTTGGATCATAATGGTTTTGTGATATAATTCCAGACAGTATCTAAAACATCTACGATTTCGTCTTGATTGGTTACCAAATTAGAATTTTTCATTCTCCAGCATTATTTCAATAAGCTTTTCAATTTTATCTTCTTTTTTTTTCACACAGCCAATTCTGTTTAGATCTAATTGCTTGCTTTCCCACTAACGTGAGTGTCCACTTCTTAGTTCTTATTAAACGAGAAATGGCTTACAGACCCACAAACTACTAAATTCATGATTTATTTTTTGATTCAGTACATAACATCAGAAATCTATATATATATACAGTTCGACAAAAGCACAAGAACATCTCAATGGTGTTGATATCTTGAGCTCGCCCCCCAGTAGCACAGCGGTATGTCTGCGAACTTACAACGCTAAAATCCGGGTTCCGTGGTGGGCATAGCACAGATAGCCCATTGTGTAGCTTTGTGCTTAATTGCAAACAAACAAGTCTTGAGTTCTATTCCTTTTAATTGAACGTGTACTAACGGCAAAGCACCTCCAAACCCATAGAACCTACCTTGTGCTCCAGCCCATATTATTATTTATATATGAATTTTTGGTATTGTTTCTTCTGGAAGTCAAAGTTACAGTTAAGCCTCTCAGACACTTCTAAAGCTTTTGTGTAGTTATTTATTATAGTGTTTAATCATCAGTTTTATCTAGGGTAATTCTATATCGCACAGTATAACAGATCGAATATTACATAAAAGAAGGAATGGCATGTTTTCTGTCATTTAGCTATATAATGTAAACATTTCTGTATTGAGGGGATGCAATCAGTTAAAGATTATATAGTATAGCATACTTACAGTATAAATCACCCATTAATTTGGTGGTAAAATATCCAAACAACGCCACAGCTCCAATTTGCTTTTAATTCATGGTTGGTAATCTGTTAGAATTTGCCATATAAGTTGAAGTATTAGAGAGAACAGTGTGATCTCTTAGCTTTTCAATTGTAATGACTTTGAATAATAGGTGTTGTGTTGAAAACCTTCTATTTTCAATACATGGATCCGTGTTATAGCAGTCCTGTCGTCGAGTAACAAAAATGATATAGTATACTAACAGAAAAAGTGAAACATACATTAAAATACAACAGAAGACTTGAAATAGACATCGTAACAGGAAGAGCCAACACTCACTTCGCTACCCATAAGTCTCGATTTGAATTGAGTTTTGTTTTTGTTTTTTGTCCTAAAATAATGACTCTATAATGAGATAATTGTAATAAAATGAACTTCGTAGCTAGAGATAAGGAACTGAAAAAATAAAATAAATATTAGGGCTAAAATGAAGAGGTCATGTAAGTTGGTAGTTAATCTGCTTATTTTCATGTTAATTTCATTTGCGTTTTTCCCCTGATTCCAATGATATCTTGGTTTCATTGCACCAAAACAGGCTTAAACTGGTACTCTAACTATGGAAAATTTTCGGGAAAAGAAGCTTCCGAATATCGGTATTTTCCGCCTGCTTCTGACAAGTTTTATTTATTTCCAACTTTATCTTCCCGACAAAAAAAATCCGCTTCCGACGCTTATGCTTAAGCAAAAATACCGGATTGGTTTCCAGTAGTAACTTTATTTTTTTTTTAAATTCTAATCTATAAGTTACTGGTGAATATTTGAATGTAAATTAACATAAAGGAAGAGTATTTGAAATAAGTCGATAGTTTAATCTCACGTTGTGATGAGTTCTTTGACCTATCACACTGTTCTACAACCAGCAGATGAGAATCGATAGAAGATAGAGCTGGACAGAATGACGCCAAAAGTATTTGTTCTGCAGTTGTCTACTTCTTTTATTGTGTAACGTGAATCGATGGGCTACTTAAGTAACATTCTCGAAGTTGAACTTTCTCTACTTAGACTCTTGAAAGAAAAAAAATTATATGCAGTCGTCGTAATATAAAAATGATAAAACGTCGAGCATGACAATACTTTGTTGCACGATAAACCTAAGCAAATGAGGATAGGTAACAGCGTAGGCAAAGACTCAAATTTTGTTGTATCTAAATATCTTGGACCAGATGTAGTTTAGTGTTTAGCGTGAATTCAAAGTTACATGGTTTGCAACCTCTTACACAAAATTCCGCTCCGTACTTTGGGTCCTTGGGTGCGCTCCATAAGACAAGAGTAGTCTAAGAGTTTGACAGTGGGTGTTGTTGAGTAAATGCCTTTCTTCTTGTGTAACTGTGAAAATTAAGGAAAGACCACGCGCACATAACCCGTGTTTAAGTTTGAGCGAAATCCTGAAACAAACTTAAACTCATATTATATCGTACGCGCAGCTGAGTTTTCGCAAACACGAAATTGCTAACGTCAAATATTAAAAATATAATAAAGGCTTGTCTTCTGAGTTTTAAAGATGCAGGGAACGCAATTTATTAAATTATTACGAGCTTCTTCAGCGATGAGTTTCGTTCCGTAGATTGCGAATCAAGCACCCTAACCATTAGGCCTGTTATATGAGTAGAAAAGTAACTTAAAAACATACACATCTCTTCGTATCATTGTTCTTCGAGAGTACATAACATTTTAAGTTAACCCTACACTGTATTTGTTCAATGTTTCGTGAAATCCATAACTTATTGCTGGTGTTACTGTTTTAAAAGCAATTTCTATAGGAACATTTATTTACCTACTATTAAATAAAACCCCATCTTTTACCTTCACTACTTGTACATACAGAAATGTTTTGTAACTGCTTTAATTTCAAATATCTCTACAAATTAGTACTCTTTTTTTTTTGCATTAAAAATATTAATGTATCAAAGCTTTAACTTTTTTCTGCTTCCTGGTTATGAACGCCAGAGTTTTATATGAACAAAATATATTACATCTAATTCAGTTTGAAACAAAGATTTAGTGCACATTTTTTCACGTATACAATTAAAAGATTTGTTTGTTTGAAGTTGTGCACAAAGCTACACAATGGGCTATCTGTGGTCTGCCCACCACGAATATCGAAACCAGGTTTCTAGCATTGTAAGTCTGCAGACATGCCGCTGTGCCACTAGGGGGCACAATTAAAAGAAAAAAACAGTTTAATGAAAATATTTTAATATGATCAATATAAAATATTCTTTACAGAAATGTACTTGTGTGTATGTAAGATCTAAAATGACAAAGAAAGCTGGGTGTGCCTTTTTGATACACACACATTTTTGTTCTTTTTCTTTACGAAAGAGAGTTGGTGACCGATCAGTTTTTGTTTGCTTGTTTGTTAGTTTCAACTACATTTAGCACCCAGGTTTGTTTTCATCACTCGTTGTTGTGAGTCATACGTAAATATATAAATCAAAATCACTATCCATTTATATCACACATATATATATATCTCCTGGGTGATATTATCTGTCATCAAACTAGCTAAGCTGATATTACTTTCGAAACTACAATTATCATATGGTTATGGCATAGCTTTTATTACTTAGTTGGGAGCTAATACGACAAACAACGTTTTAAATTTTGCTTCATTGGCTTATATTTTACATAAATATATTTAAATCACAGAATTATCCTCTATAACAAAAACTAAGACCTCTAAACAAATTAATAAGGAACATTTTTAAGCCCCAATAAACATTACGCTTAATAAATGTGGGTTCAAAAAAGTAAATAATCATTTGATTAAAAGTATAAATATATTTATTTTTTACCAGTAGATGGCAGCAAGTGGCTCAGAGTCTCCAAAGTCGGGAGAAGAGGGTGCATCATTTGAAGAGATGTTCAAGGCGTTCGCTAAGTTTGGAGATACCAAGAACACGGGAGACTCAATCACTCTTTTCAATAGTGACAAGTGGTTTAAACAATCAAAAGTGATCGATGGCAAGAAAATTACCACAACTGACACTGGCATCTACTTCAAGCAAATCTCTAAGTATTTTTGTTTTTAATATTTAAGTATTCCTTTTTTTATTAGCTTTTATATCTCTTGGTAGTACAAATGGTGTTAGACAATTGTTTAACACTAATAACGCGAAACAACAACAACTACGTAAATATTTATGTATATGTTTAGCCAATTTTTAAATAAAATCATGCAGCAATTCAGAGAGTCTCCAAAAATCCCTCAGTGCCCCATTAGGGAGCTCCAATATGGACATTTCGAAAATTTTGTATTGAATTATTATTTTGAACGATCCCAGTTTTTCATGAAAATCAATGGAACCAGTCACATGAGTCCTCGATAGTTTCAGTTAAAGCCAAGAGCCTAAAAACTACTAACCTGCCTTATATTTTTTTTTTTTGTTCCTCCACATGACCTTTTAGAAAATAAAATGCTTGCTAAAATTCTCAAGTTATTTTGTGAAAGATTGTGGGAGGGCTTTAGAAATTAAGTAAACCTGGATACATACATTAGGTACAATAGAGAAATATAATACTATCGTGATTAAAAATTGCAAGAACGTTTTAATACTCTCCGTTCTTCAACACATGTATATTCCTCAATAACAGTAGCTGTATAAAGCCTCTATTTCAGGTTCCATTTGGGTGGGGTCATTGTTTTTGTTTTGCTTTTTTTGAAAGATTGTAATATAAAAACCAGTCTATTCTGGAAACATTTGCTGTGATTATTTTGTACATTATTGAAGAACAATTCAACTAGCTCAAACTACACATTCTATCTTTATGTATTTTCTCAAAATAAACAAATGATATTAAAAACAGGGAGAAGTAATTGCCTCCCCCTACATAAATTATGTCCCTTGTTAATAACCCCAAAAGGACACTGAAACTGCAAAGGAGCATCACCAAATATTTCGCATAATGCCTCCAAATAATATAATGATAATACTTTTCTCTACCTTACACTATTCCAATTATTTGATTCCTATATATAGCTAGTAATGATAAGATTTTTGTAACCTGGGATATGTTTTATTTATAAAAAAGTTTGTTTTTTACAAGCTAATAAATTACATAGAGCAGGTATTAAGGTTCTGTCACAGATTCTCTTTTTTGTTCTTTTTCAAACAAGATTTGTGGTTATTGCTATACAATATTTTCTGCAATTGTGTAAAATGTTTAAATAAATGAATAATATAAGGTGAGTTAGTGCTTTGATATTACTAAATATTAATAGTTGAACTAAACAACAGGAGGAATAATAAATGAATGGTTATGAAAACCATAAAATAAAAGCAGAATTTGATATCTCACAGTGTATCACTATCAGATATTAATTAACTTAGCCTAGAGTTATTCAATATTGTATTTCTGGACAGGGTGAAGAAAGCTTTGAACCTAAACGAATACAACCAATTCCTGGAAAATATTGCCAAAAACAAGAAAATGGATGTGACTGAAATCAAGCAGAAACTATCCAGCTGTGGACCACCTGGAACATCATCTAAAACCACTGTGAGTTAAATATTATTTAGCTGTTGACAAATTAAGGTATGTTGACTCTCCCATGTTAGGAATCTTCATCATTCCTTGTAACAGTTTTTAAGTCGCACAACACATTTCTTTCAGAAGGATAGTGCAGTGGAATTGCAATAATTTTAAGAAAGACTAAAACACAGCACCTAAATATAATAACCTAAATAATCTAGCATTATTTAGGTGGTAAAACCAAAATTACATACATGACAGTTAAAATATAAGGGTATCAAATGTATGTCAATGAAAAGATACTTGCTGCTACCAAAAATCATCAGTTATATATATGTCGCTTTTAAGAGCAAGCAGCTGTAGATAAAGACATCCTTTTGACTATGTTGGCATTACTGAGTTACAACAATGGTGTTGAATCAGATGAGAATAGTACTACTTCATGACAGGAATATAGTACCTCCACCACTTTGGTGGCAGGACATCCAGTGAATATATTCTGTTCATTTAATAAAGAAAATTTCTTTTACAATACCTCAAGGTGTAATAAAACACCCTTGATAAATTTACTAACTTTTTAAACAAAACAACTACAATAAACTTCTTCAAGAGAACACAGACAGAGTAGATGTTTTCAATACCTTAATAAACAAGAAACATTCACAAAGGAAAAATCATACACTATATCAATGAATAAAATACTGCAGAGAAGACATTTCATCATACAAGACCACCTTTTTTACATCTAGTAACACTACCACTAAGAAGGAATATGCCATGCATCTTGAGACACAAGTCAAGGTGGGTATGATACCTAAAAGCACACAGAGAGAACAAAGTCAATCAAAACACACACACATCTGTGGGTGTTCACCATCCAAAGAATACTAAACATAAATGTCGAGTAAAACATGGTAAATCTTACTTGAAAAATCATACTTAAGTTATAAATAATTACAATTATTGCAAATTAAGTTACTAACAGGAATTATACTTTACATCATAATGAAAAAAGAGACTTCATGCTGTAAAAAGATATTTGTATATCGATTCAGTGTAATAGGGTTTTGTAATTTATATACAGTAAACATAATCAATATATCTTCATGTATTTATGTCCTTTGCTTTTCAGCATAGACTTGTATAAGTTTGCAGCCATAACATAATGATGTTAAATAACATCCACTAGTGACATAACATAAAATAATGAGGTAATAGATGCTGTATTGCAATAAAGCATCACAAAATCATTATATCTGGAAAATTCATACTAACTATACTTCAATTTACGCATTATCAGAAGCTATTTTGTTTACTTGCAAGCAAGTAAATTTCTGTAATAATTCACATTCTCTGAATTTGGTTTTAAAGGTGTATCAACTTAACGACTTAATGTTATTTGTGGAAGTGAGCCAATGCTAATCCTTTACCAGTTCCTGAATTTAACACAAACATTAAGTATGCATAATTATGCTTTCACCATGAAGTTTTAGTAACTGTGTATAAAAATATACCCAGTTAAATATAATAGGTCATTAGTACTGTGTGCAGTATTATTTACATTTATTTAATTCAATAACTGGAACTATCATGTTTGAGTTTATTAATCTGATTTATCTTTTAGTGTGTCTCATGAGACTATCTTATAAACAACACAAAATCAGTTATATATATATATATGTATGTATCCTCTTAAATTCTTTATGTGCTCTATCCATTGTAAGGGTATACTTTTACCAATTAAGAGAAAAAATTAAAAATGATGTCAACTTTTTACAGCAGCATTTAATGTGATAGCAATACTGAAAAATAATTTTCTTTTGTGCTGCATAGCAAGCTAAATTAGTCCAGGTAAATACACTTAATAATCGTGTGAAAAACGTGATATTTAGTAATCATTTACTTTGTTCAGCATCATTATCTTTAAATTGCATTTTCATTCTTTAACCTATCTTTAGGAAGACATTTAATGTTTTATTTTTATAACTCTATTTCAGATTATTTTATATATTACTCATTGATAATTGAAATTCACAAAGCAATGTTAAGAAACAGAAGAAACAGATATTTTCCTGTTTGTTTAAAATTAATAGAACTTTCCTAAGTTCAAAAAAAAGTAAATGTTAATAAATTGTTTGCATCAAAGTTGATGAACTAACAAACCCTGTGGTATGTTATTGTATGTGAATATAGTAACAGAAATTATCAGAAAGATAAGTTATTGTCTTATTTTTTGTATTACTATCTCAACAGCCTAAAGGTTCTGGAAGTGTGGTAAGCCGCCTTACAGACCACACCAAGTATACTGGCAGTCATAAGTCAAGATTTGATGACACTGGAAAGGGGAAAGGCAAGGGGGGAAGAGAGGATTTAGTGGATGGCTCTGGTTATGTACAAGGTTACAAACATGAAGGATCATATGATAAGTCCCATTAATTGTTATTTTACATGCTTCAAGTTCATTATTGTGACACAGAAAGGACAAAGTCTCAGAAAACAGGCATCATGATGAAGTCTTGAATGAGAGAAAAATCCAACAAGCATGAACCACTCATTAATATATAATATATTACTTATTATTGTCTTTCTATAGATCTATTGTATAGATTTTAATTCAAGATGTATTAATGCCAGTTTGAAGGACTAGTGCTAAAATCTAAGTTATAACAAACTAGTCCCACATTTCCTGACTGCAGTTCAATGACTTGTTTTATATGCATATACATATATATAGTAAACATATACAGTGCAGTAATATAAAAAAAAGAATAGAAAGAAATACTTTAAGTTTTGAAATGATATTGAAATGAAACTATTACTGTATAAAAGATAAAATTACAGAATTTTGAGAACACCCGAGTTGGAATTGCTTTTTTTTGGGGGGGGGGGCACCAAATTATGTTTTGCCTCAGGAAACAGACACCCTCACTAGGCCACTGCTTATACATTTTAATGTTTGTATCACTGGAACTAAACTATGATAGTTTATTATATTAGAATTAGTATATATATATATATATATATATAAAAGAGAGGGAGAGTGTAAATCTTTGGTGTTCAACTAAGTTTCACTACTAACACAAACTATTTTACTTAAACTTTAATTTTTACGCCCCCAGTGGCACAGCGGTATGTCTACGGACTTACAAC